TGTCCAACGACCACTGGAGGGCATGCCATGTTGCCACGTTTCGGCCACGATCCGCGACAAAAGCAAGTTGTCGCAACGTACCCACGTGCATCTTTCGTTCTCGTCCGCGGGAGGTCGAGCATTGCATCCTGACGCGCGTCGTTCATTCCCAGCTGGAGCCGTCTCTCACCTGGGTCGTCGAGCACGCCTGTTGCGGGTGCTCGTGGGCTGTCGACACACGTCGGCCAATGTTGTGGGCGAATCGAGGGACTCGGGCAATTGTCTAGATATTTCGCTTCTCGACGCAAATGCGCTTGACAATGTGATGGAGCTCCACGTCACAGGGGCCGCACCCTCACATACTACGTAGTACGAAGCAGCAGGAGTAGTGCGGTCGCCAGAATTGGGTGCAGACACTACTTTTGAACACATCACGTACAGTCTGGAGCAAGAAGCCTCTCTCGAGTTCGATACCGAGCGAGAGAATCGCTCGACAAGTCCATCCCGTTCGTTGTTGAGCAAGGGTGACGGCCAAAGCTGACCCGACCACTCGGGACTACCCATGCGCGCGTGCTCTGGGCAATCCACGCCTCCGGCAACGAGAATCGTCATGAAGTGCAGCACCGCTCGGAACATTCCGCAAGTTGAACTGTCGTCTGGCTTCCGTCGTATGCAAATTTGACCACCTGGCTGCAGGCGCACACACCCGCGCATACCATCATGTGGCCCATTCAACAACGCTCGATGATGAAGCCACATGAGGTTTCCCTCGGTCTCTCGCTGGCTTACTTTCACGAGTTCGTCGCAGCCCATGGAGGCCGAACCGCGTTTGAAGACCTCTCGACGGCCAACGTGTGCACTCGATTCGTCATGCCGACGACAGAACTGTCCAAATTGTCGTTGGTGGACCATGTTCTCGCCCAGCCAGGTGGAGACAAGTTTGCCAAGCCAGCGCAGTGGCTCATCAGCCACTCGTGGTCGTACAAGTTTCTCGACGTTGTCGACGCCATCGACAACTTTTGCCACGAACACGCGCTCGACATGGACACGTCGTTCTGGTTTTGCATGTTTGCCAACAACCAACATGCCATTGGCGAGCCCACGGTCATGTTTGATGTGTTTTTGCACGCTTTTCGGACGGCGCTGGCAGACACGGGCAAGATGGTGATGGTGCTGAGTCCGTGGCACGACCCCGCGACACTCAAGCGGACGTGGTGTGTGTACGAAGTGTACTTGTCGATCGTGCTGAACGCTCGCTTTGAAGTCGCGATGGGGAAAACGCAGCAGGCGGCGTTTCTCGACGACATTCATGAACTGGAAAGCATCAACCGCATGCGGGCTCAAGTGAACTGCAAGCACTCGTCGACGACTGTACCGAGCGACCGCGACCACATTTTCAAGCTGATTGACGACACGGTTGGCGGCACCGACAAGTTGGATCGGTTGGTCTTTGAAGTGATGCAAACTTGGGTGCTCCAAACCGTCGGCAATCAAGTCAAGGTGGCGACGACGCCCGAAGATCGGTTTCGATGGTTGTTCACGCAAGCGCAGACGTTGGTCGTGGTGGGAAGATGTACCGAAGCGCTCGAAGTGTACCAGTCCGCCATGGATTTGTTTGCGGCCAACCTGCCTTTGACGTTCTGGCGGGGATGGCAGGCACTGTATCGCTTCGCCGAACTGAAAGCGTACACGGGGCAACCGCGGGAGCTATGGGAGCCCATGTTTGACGAAGCCGTCCCACGGCTGCAAACGCTGCTCGGCAAAGATCACAACGTGGCGTTGAGTGCGCTACGGGAGGCAGGGTTCTGGTTGTGCCGATCGGGGTGTACGGACCGATACAGGAAGATGCTGACCGATTGCTTGGCGCTTGAAACGCGCAAGGCCGACGACAACGACGACATGATCAAGACGTTGCATTACCTCGGCGATTGCTGCTTGGCTCGAAACAAGTGCGCGGAAGCAGAGCAATTGTACCACCAAGCGTACGAAGGGTACTGTCGTCTGTATGGCCCGACGCACGTGCGATGCCGAACGATTCAGGGCAACTTTGCCGTGTGCTACAGCCGGCAAGGCCGCTACCAAGACGCGGCGCAGGCGTTGGCGCCGGTTCTGGACGAGAGCATGCGCACCCTCGGCCCACACCATCACGAAACCATCAATCAAATGGGGAACGTCGGGATTTTCCATCGCTTGTCTGGAAAGTATGTGGAAGCGGACGAGCTGCTGCGCCAGTGCATTCAAAAGTCACGAGCGATCAACATCACGTCCAACCTGACGACGTGTACGACCTCGTGCCGAACGACAGACACTCAACAGCGAACGCGTGTGTGTGTAGGGCTGCGGCATCGGGCGTTGGTCCAGTTTAGCCTTGGCCATCCAAACGAAGCGATCGCGTTAGCGCAGGAAGCGTACAACGCAGCGCGTCATGGCCCTCTATCGGACGTTTGCCTGGCGCTCCTGTCCATCTATTACATCCACATTGAACACGGCTGGCTGGACTCGCTCGATCAAATCGACGTCTTCCTGTGCCAACTGCAAGCGGCTGCCTTGACCCATGAAACGTGGACAAACTTTACGTGTCGCAGGTGCACCGACGTCATTGACGGAGACATGACCGTGTGTATGATTTGCCCGCGACTGGTCGTCCGCTTTTGCCCGTCATGTGCTGATTCCAACGTCAACGCAGTTTGCGATCATGCCAATGACGCTTGGCTCGTGTTGAAGCCCCCATATCGCTACTTGCTCGAACAAAAACTCAAGCTCCTGGCGACCCAACGACGCCATGGATGGCAAGCTTTGTATACCGAGACGGGAGCTATCTACACGGCCCATTGCGACAGGTTTCGTGTGTCGGATCGCGTTCAAGTACTTGTCTCTCATGGCGCGATGAGTCTCATGGTGTCAAATGTGTGTATAGTTGGAATCGCTACACAAATCCAAGCACGTCGGGCTTGCGTGGACGATCGTAGCGATGGCTGCTGCTGGCCTTGCGTGGCTAGCCCAACGCCACAAGTAGTGTCGCAAACGACCGACCGAATGCGCACCGACGCTGGTCTCGAACCAAATGCGTCGTCAATACACCATAGTCGTGGTTTGTTTCACCGAATGTTGCGCCGTTGCAGGGGGCAGACGTCCTGTCGCCGAAACGTGTTGGGATTTTGCAATGGGATCGGTCGGTGCGCCGCCGCCCTCGAGCCATCTTGCTTTCAATCACGGCATGATGGCCAACGACCCGTTGCTGCTTTTGCATGCGCGCTTGCCATGCGAGCCGTCGGGGTTGTCTGCATGGTGGTGTGCACACGGTTGGGTGGCATGTCATACCAGCGGTCTGCGATACAGCTAAACACAAATGGGGCACCAAGCTCGGTTTCCGCATTTCATTTCAAGCACAGTGACTTGGTGTGGTGCTGCGACCGACTCGTGGCCTTCCCATGCACTTGAATCGATTGTTCATGCTGCATCGACCTGTACGTCCACAGAAACGATCAGCAGCGTGTTTTTTTCCACCGCGCCATCGTTTTCCAGAGCAATCCAGACCACTGCGACCAAGCGGACAATGCGTCGTCGCTGCGAACAAGAACCATCCCGACTAAAGTTTCGGACCGCCACCACCAAGCACGGTTCCGCGCACCTCGTGCAATCGGTCAAAGCCAAGCGCTGCATCCGCATGCTAACGTACGTCCAGCGCACCGTCATGATGACGAAGAAGAGAATGCCCATGGCCGGAAGGAATCCTTCGAGCCTTGCTGTTCTTTTACAAACGTCGGTCGCGCGTCGTTGTGGAATTCTCCGTTCCGCGACAATTTGAATGGTTCCAACGCGAATTCATGAGCGCGGGCACACACTTCCCATCGGTCCACTCGGCCAGGTGTGCTTGATTGCTTCTTGGGCAGGATTGGGGGGCGTCTCAAATTCGCAAGGATGACAGGCACGTCGTCCTTGCCGACGGAGCAACCTGGTTTCCGCAAGTTGTGTGCGGGCCATCCGATGGACCAACTTGTGGCCATGAATAGATGGATAGCTGACACCCGCGCGCCGATTCAATCTTCCCGTGGGGGTTGTTTCTGTTTCGGGGGTAGACTTTGGTCGACACGAATCGATCAAGCTGACGAAACCCTCTCGACGGCGGGCTTCTTCAAACCACGAACTGCGCTGACGAAGATGTTGCTGTGGCAAAGGGAGCAACTCGTTGTTCAACCACGCTGCTATGGACTTGCACATATTGCCTTGGTGGTTTTCCGCACGCGTCAGCGCTTTGAATGTCGTTCCATCTCATGAAGAAGTCGGCGGCACCGTACCAGGTCACCCCCAAAGGGCGACAGCACATCCGTGCACAATGCCATTCCCGCAGGTCGACCTGCTGGACAATGGATACCGATTGCTAGCCTGGATGAAGCACGGAACCCCTTGCGGAGATCGGGTGGTCGTTGTGACCCCCCACCGATTGAGCCATTCGCATGAGGTTTCGGGCATGCGCATAAAAATCTGTTTATGCGTGCTTTTCCTTGATAAATCGGAAAACAATTGAAAAATACTTCGAAAATGTCGAGAAATGCAAAATGACACGAAAATACAAAACATCCGGTCAATATCCGGATATTTTATCCGGCGTGCCATCCTGTGATCATGAACAAAGAAAGATTCGAGGGATCGACGACTCCGTGATGATGCTTGCGCCACCGGTGTCGACGGACCAGCGCCATCAGCACGTGTCTGTAAGCGTAGCTGAAATCCGATACCGCAGCCAGACGAAGAAGGTCGCAGTGTACGAAGGAATGTCCCCGGCCGAGTGCAGTGTGCTGCTTCTGGCGGCATTTGTCGACCCTGTCACGTTGGACAAGCAAGGCAACGTGCTGGGCTTTGTGCATCTGAAGACCAAAACGTTCTTGCCGCTTTCCCTCGCGACGGCATTTCCTCAGCTCATTCAGCCGAATCACACGTACGAGCTCATTCTGGAGAAGGAACCACCCACGCACCACGTTGAACCTTCTGTCGCCGATGTTCCTGCAACGACCCATCCAGAAGCGGTGCAACATCGCACCCATCATGCGACGCGATCTCAAGCATCGTCTCCACCACCAGCAGCCCCAACCATCCCCGCCAACCGTACGCAACGAGGTACGCGCGGTGTTTGACTTTTTTTCTTGCATCCTTTTGCAGCTCGTGTGCGAATTTGCACATCCCCAACTACGATCATCGGCGCATGTCCCTGTGTGTGATCACAGTCGTGGTTCGTATTGCCCGCCCTTGCTTGCAGATGGTTCCTTTGGTTGCTGTCATGTGTACGGGTGTCTTCTTCATGGCTCAAGCCTCCCCCCCCAGGACCTTCCACAACCTCCACAACTCCACAGCCCCACAACAGTGCTTTACATCAAGACCAAGACAACTGGAGCGAAACCATGTACAATTTGCTCGTTCACTGGGACACCCATCATAACGCAGGGAACTTGCCGCTGGAGAAGCTCGAGACATTGCTTCTGGGCCAAGAACATCCCCAGCTGCACCAAGCTTTTCTCGCGTATTCGTCGCCGTCGTCCGCAACCCATCGGGACTTGGACGCTATGGTGCATCAAGTGCGTCGGGTGCTTGCAGTCCTCGCGCAACAGACCAAGTCGTCGTTTACGCGGGTCGTCAACCAACTGCCCCTCCTCAAACCGCACGACATTGCGCTCATTCATGAGCTCTTCACGCAAGGTACTGTTACAGCGCATCGCTCCGCAACGTCGCCAAACGCACGTTGTCCTTGCTTACGTGCTTGATGTTGCGACTGAAAGCACGAAATGCCAAAGCTCCTCGCGTGCATTTTGTCCTCAAATCGTTTGTGTGGATATGTGTGCGAGTCGGCTG